GGAGCTGGCCCCCCCAGCCACTTTTGCCCCCCCCGCCACTTTTGCCCCCCTGTGCTCTGCACCCCATCCTCTCCTCTCCTGCTGGCCTGTGATGATAAATCCATGTTTGCAGTTGACCTGAAAAAAAATTGAGTTTCTCCAGCTGGGAGCCATCCCTCCCTGCTGGTACCTCCAAGCTGGCCACTGTGCCCCCAACTCTTTCCCCCCGCCCCTGGCCAAGAAGCGGGGCTGTGTGTTTGCAGAGCCTTTATTTGGCGTTCCTGTGGCAGGGGGCGAGGGGCGCCCCCTCTCCTGCCCCCTACCTCTGCCAGGGCAGGGAACCCCCCGCTCCCCCCTCTGCCTTTCCGTGCAGCAATGGCCTTGGGGCCAGCCTCAAATTGCACAGATCAAATCTTGCTCCTGGAAATCAAGTCTGGAGGGGGGAAAAAAAAAGAACAACCAACCCTCTTTCTGTAAGCATGGTTGTCACGTGCATCACAGCAGGAGCCACGGTGCCCCAGCATGCTCCTCATAGGGGGCTGGTCCCCCCTCCCAGCCACTTTTGCCCCCCTGTGCTCTGCACCCCATCCTCTCCCCAAGTGCTGGCCTGTGATGATAAATCCATGTTTGCAGTTGACCTGAAAAAAAATTGAGTTTCTCCAGCTGGGAGCCATCCCTCCCTGCTGGTACCTCCAAGCTGGCCACTGTGCCCCCAACTCTTTCCCCCCGCCCCTGGCCAAGAAGCGGGGCTGTGTGTTTGCAGAGCCTTTATTTGGCGTTCCTGTGGCAGGGGGCGAGGGGCTGGCCATCCCCAGCCAGGAGAGGAGCACGTCTCTGTGCTGGGGCCACGGGCAGCTTGAATGCACTGAAGAGCTGTTCCGTGCCCACCAGGATCAGGCCAAGCCCGCCCCACGCCGGGGGCTTTCGGGCTAAGCCTTCATGGAGACGTGGTCTTCTGCTCTGGGGGCGGCTGGCCCCTGCACCCCCCGCTGTCCAGCAAGGCGGGATGGCAGAGCTGGGGGGGGCAAGCTGGGGGCCAGAAGGAGATGTCACTGCCAGGGGTGGAGGTGGGACACGGGGTTATTGGGAAATATCCCCCGCCCATCGCTGAGGTCTCTGCCACTGGGTTGCCCAGCCCAGCATCCCAGTCACGGGGTGGCAGAGACGGGAGCGATGGAGGGGGCAGCGTGCTGGCTCGGCATTTGGTTCCTGCTGCTGGGGAGCATCCTGGGAGGGGACGGACGAGGAGCAGCCCTGCAACAGCAAGGGGGGTGCCAGCGGCAGGGGGGAAGCCACCCTCTAGGCTGGCATCCCCCACCTCTACTGGCCCTGCTGCTGCTGCCTCATGTAGGCGATGATGTCGTTCTTCACGACAGCGATGTTGGCGCGGTGGTACCAGCGCATGACAGGCACGCCGTCGGGGCCCACCAGGAACTTCTCAAAGTTCCACTTGATGTCGTGGTTCCGCAGGGGCTCCCAGAAGAGGTTCTTGGGGTTCCCGAACTCTTCCGCCACCGGGGGACAGGCATTCTGCAATGGGGGCCAGTGCATCACTGCCTTGCCCCCCAAAACAACCAAGCTGGATGCTGCCTCCCCACCCCCCGCCACCATGGCACCCACCTTCAGGAAGGTGTAGACCTTCTGCTCCTTGGCCCCATTCACGTCCCCTTTCTGGAAGAGCTGGAAGTTGGGGGTGAAGCCACCCCCCGGCCGGACATACCTGCAAGGGGAGGGTGGGCAGAGTGTCATGCAACAGGCAGCTCTTGGTGCTGCACAGGGGTAATGGGGGAACCCCAAGCCCTGTGCTTTTGGTGGCCACAGCCCCAGGCTGGGAGGGGGTCACAG